CATTTCGTCGTGGGACGAGGACGCTCGGATTTCTTGGTGGGACGAGGACCGTGGACTAAAGTGCGGTGGGGGGAGTGACACCTCCCAAGCGCACCGTCGGGTCTGAAGCAAAGGGAAGGTCCTGTCGGCCTTTTTTCTGGACTAGCCAGTTTTTTTTGCAGTCCGACCAGCCCGCCCCGACGGCCCACCGATGATGCACTCTGGTCCACACGATCGTCATAAATCATAACTAACAAAAGCCTGGACCCAGCGAACTCTGCTACACACCCCACTTTGGAAGCCCTTACTCAAGCCCCTGCAAGTATTCGCATCCCCCCTCACCTTTCATTTTCCCCCACTAACAGCTCTATCGAAGGCTTCCGTCCTTCAGCCTTCTAGGGGGAGGCCCTTGTAGTGCACCGGAAAACATGCTCTTTCAGTATTTTGTAACATTGGATTTTATGGTTGTTTTAACCTTCGAAACGTCCACTTGTTTTACTGACTGCACGTCCGTTGACACAAACCGCTTTGGTGAGTACCTCGCTGCACGTTTCTCGCTCTGTCTGATTCGCTTCCTATTCTTGTAGCCTGCACAATATACGTTGGGTTCAGTCACCTCCGACTTCTATACTGTCGTATTTGACACGTATTACGTGTCATTGCTTACCGACTAGTATCCCAGGTTCCGCCCAACCCAGTTCCATACGGCTGCCTCGTATGAACTATCCACAAAACTGACAGTCCTGAACGTGTTGCCTCAGGAGAAAATAATGAAAAATTAAGAGAATGGCACAAACGTTAATAAAACGAAAGTAAGCTGGTTCATGTAGCATTAAAAATGCCGGTTGCAAACTACCATAGGCAGTCGCTTAGGTCACTGCTCCGGCAATTTAATATGCTGTCGCAATTTTGAAGCTGTTGATAGGCAGTAAAATTACTTAGCATTTAGTTTTACTCTAAATTTGTAAAACCAAACCATTTGTTTATCGTCGTTTCCGGTACTACACTATTTCTCATTAGGTGAATCTTAGGTATCTTGATCAACTGGGTGTATCTGTTACATAATTTTTTACTCAGTTTATCACTACGTTAGTAAGTTGTTTGTAATGATAATTATGCCTAAGTTTATTGCTGTTGTTCTCTTTATGCAGTGACCATTATGACTTCTCCAAAGAACAAAATATTTCTACATAAGCCGGGAAAAAGTAGTGTGACGAGTGATGATCAATCGTTCATCCTTTCCACCATTTAATCCGCCGTCAAGCTAAAACCATGCTATTACGAACCATTATATATTGCTTGCATCCATGTGTTCTGTAATAATGCTGTATTCAATATGAGATTATTTCGCTTTATAACCTGCTGAACGCTTAATTCTCGTGCTGAATATCCATGACCGCTAATCTAATGATTGACAATGTTACACCACATTCAATAAACAAGAGGGCAAATAATTTGGCTACTCTAATAATATCGGTTGGTACAGTATGGTATGAATGTTACAGTAATCAATATAGAAGCGTTTCAGCTGTATTTTACCTCTACTGGTATCAAAGAAAGCTTTAAGCGGGTCACTGAACCACATTCGACCCTCTATTCGACTGGTTTGTAAGTTTTAAAAGTGTCAAGAGAGTAACAGCTCATTTCTGAAGCTGACCCAAATCAAACGAAACATAAATTAACCTGGGCATTCCGTAGTCAGGCTTGTCTGAACATTTGGTGGGCACAGGAGTGGCACTTAGGCGATCACACATTATCGCACTCCCAAATACCGGTGAAAAATGCCCGCTCAGTGACACAGATCTGGGCGCTACTGAGAAATCGCTGATCAACAGATAAGCGTAGGCCACATCAGTACTTTGTGTACCGCAGTACAAATATCCAGTGTGTCATAGTCGTTCGCTAGTACTTCACCATACATACTGCCGTGTTGGGACTATACAGCTCATTCATCACATCAACTGCGGCTTGGTGACAAAGAAACCAATTTCCCTTACCACAGAGGATACAGTAAAACGGCTGATTTAACGAGTCACCCAAGACTCCGAATTTTGTGAGTGCGGTTCCTGGGGACCTGTACTGGGACATTAATCTTGATGGGTCCCGAGGACGTTGCATATTTTTGTGTTTACCCAACTACTCGTAGCTCATAAGTAGACAAATATTACTAAGAAGACGAATATTGGCAGATGCTAGCATTTCATATTATCAGTATGTCTGTAAGAGATATAAAAGGATTTCCCTGTTATTGTAATGGTACTGATGAGATAATACGAAATGCTAGCATCTGCCAATATTCGTCTTCTCATTTCGATGTTCAAACTACTGAAGGGGACTAACTGTTTTGAAGATTAATAAGTTAAAAATGAGGACAGCTGCTACCAGGGTGTAATGAATGTATCCCTTGAACTGATGTCGGAATTCATTTGCTTACCGGATGGGTACATCTGCCCTACACGACGTTTATCGTTCATCGGTCATTATAATGGCTGAAGGTGAGAAAACTTCGGTTATTGTAGCCCCCAGAGTGAATCGGCCATGAAACTGCAGGGTTTATGAAAATCCATTTCTCCACTCATCCTGTAAGTTAACACTCCTCAGGTTTGTATTAACCGTATGAGCTACTGTGACGGCATTATAACTTGGATTTAATAAGAGTTTACAATTAAAATGCTGGTACCTAGATAAACTGAACAAAAACTGCAATCACAGCGTCATCCTATACTTTATCCCAACACAATCAAACTACCAACCGTTGTGCAAATGTAGATTGTTTATTGATGTGCTTCCGGAGTGAATAAATGCTCAGCATAGATTGTTAAACTTTGGTATGTTAAAGCTAACATCTCACTGCAGCACATGTTAATAATCCGTTGAAAAATGTTTGTAAAGATGCTGTTAATTCGTTAAAAGTTTTATCGATGTAATCACACAGGTATCCGGTGCTTCATCACTAACAAGTATGTGACTTGAATAGAGATACTTTGGAAAAGCTTGCAGTGGACTTATAACGGTATTCATCTCACATATGCGGTAAGTAGATAATTAATGGCAGAAACCGACAACGTAGATCCGATACGCATAGCCATCCGAGCAGACTAAAAGTTTACCAACTCAGCTTTGGAGGATGCTATGAAACCTGACTGAAAGTCTATCATTAATCAAATGGCTCTGTTATCTTGCTGATCCGTTGGGGAACAGTGGATAAGTTGAAGCTAAATCTGAATACGCATGAATCAACTGAGGACCATCATCTAGCATTAGGTTATTGGGTAACACCCAATTTCCATCGGCTTCATTCACGGTCCAAGTGATCAAATTGACCAAGATTCACTTCATTGCGAAGCGGAGTCTATACTGAGATGGCACGTCACAATGCCTCCGCATGTCCAATGCTCCCATTGACTCCTCCAGACTTCTATCATATAGTTGATTGGCAGTGAGCAACCAACATTAAAATAAACCTGTCTCCTTCTATTTTTATCGCCATAACAGAGATATCTGTGCTTTAGGCCTGACACATAATGGCATGTGCGAAACAGATAGATTTTGGGTGTTGATCACCCACAAGGATAGCACTCCATGAATAGTTTCAAACATATCTGGCATCAGTAGTTAGAGATAGCAGGAATCGAATCCAGGACCACTGGCGTGTTAGTCAAAACCTCTACGCCTTAACCACCTAGTCACGACGGACAAAGTTTGTCACAACGCTTACTGACTGACTGGAGGGTCAGTTTGTAGTATATTTGTTAATGGATTGCGACAAGCATTACCCGCCTAGATTCGGTGGTTAAAGCGATAGAAATTGCAACTAAAATTTCCATGTCCACAGGTTCGATGCCTGCTATCTATACCAGCTGAGATCACTCAAAGCCGAAAAGCGTCACAGATTGCCGTGTTTTCGGACTAGAGTCACCAAACTTCCATCTGCGTCAGCTACGGTCCTAATGATCGAATGAGCAAGGTTCACTTCAATGTGAATCGTGGTCCCATTGAGATTTCGCGTCGCGATCCATTCACACAACGAGTATTTCAATCAGACATTAACCGTTGTATCAACTGTTGCTCGTCAAGATCCGGTAGCCAAGGGGTTAGAGATTTCGTCCACTATTCTAATGATCTCGGGTTTCACACCTGCTACCTCTACCAGATGAAATCAAATAAGACCGAAATGAGTCGAACTGTTCATTTTTTTCAAGCAAGTGAGACCCAATGTTCATCTGCATCGGTAGTTATAGTCCCATTGACCGATTTGACCAATATCTAATTCAATGAGAATCGCAACCCACATTGAAATCGGGCGTCCCAATCTATCCACAAAATGAGTGACTCAAGATGATCTTAAGTCATTTAATTAACATTCGCATATCTAATCGGATGCGCTTCTAGGTATACGTAAAATCTATGGCGAAGTAAATTGCTTACATCTCGTGGTTCCTGCGATTAGTTTTCGTTAGTATTGTTGGATAAACAAAAAACCGACAATCAATATTAGATAAAATTGTTTTGCCATATTTACTAGCTAATCATATACAAATCTTACTCTCTAGAAATTACTCCTTTGGTTCAGGTGATCAGAACAAGCCTCGAAATTAATCCAATCCGGCCATTTGAGAACTGCTAGTCGAATGCAAAAGCAAAAGGCTTCACTGATGCCCTTGGTTCTGATGATTTGTTTGTTTGTTTGTTTGTTTTTCATCCCTCGTTGCAAAGGCTTGATTTGCCTGTAACATTCGCACTACCGACAAATTTTAAATGAATATGAAGAAAAAAGTTCGAGTTCAATGGCTACTTAATAGAGAGCAAAAGATGAACTAGCAACACCGTATTTGTTGGGTGCACTTAGTGGAGTTGCTTCTTTTGGGAGATCAAGCTTTCAAACAGATTAGCCAGTACTTGGTTGTGCGTTATAAATTTAACCGGGGATTCCCAGCAAGATTAGATCAAATTAATTTATTGTTCCTTGAAAACTATCACTATATTTGGGTGATTGCGTTCCAATTGCTTAACTTGCTCACCATTACTCTCGGTTTGGACAACGATTTGAGCAGCTACCCCGGTCCCGTAACTGGTCCGTGCCGCGATCGATACGCGATACGTGGTGTTTGGAGTGAGGCGATCCAGAATGATGTTTGTTTTTAGACCGGACACTGGAACCGTGTTGAACTTATTTTCCTCCCGTGTATGCACTGGATCGCTGCGATACCGAATGACGTAGTCCAATATCCGCACGTCTTTGTGGGTTTGAGGAGCTGTCCAGTTGAGGAATATCTGTGTAGGAGAGAGGCTGAATCCTCCAAAATCAATAGGACTTCCTGGAACTGAGGCAGTAAATGTACGAGACGTATGTTAAAAGAAGTGTGAAAAGTTCTACCAGCGCTGCTGACATTCACACAGATATGCTCAAGCCAAAAGCGTGCTATCTCGGCCACCAAAGAGGCATAAGTCTGCGTTACAAATGTTGGGTTTTTATTATAGCTGGAAGTAGCTTTATGGGCCAATTTGTCTTCAAGGAGACCATGATTGATCTGATTAATCTCTTTAGGTGCAATCCTATGACTTAGTATTTGGAGGGTCGTCACTGCGCTCTATATACGTGGCAGTGTGAACTAACCGAAAAGAGGCAGTGCGCGACAGCTATTTCATCGCTGTGCAGTTCTGAATTTAATTAACATCGCTGCCAATTAAAACTAAGCGAGATGGTTCCTGTTACCCCTACCGTATGATTCTACGTAGCATGGGTGAAAATTACTCCTCTGCACCGATGTTGAAAATCCGCGTCTTAATTCGCCAAGCAGTTCACGGATGATCATGTTAAACATTTTGTCAGTATCATAACATAAGGTTCATAGGACTCAAATGTTTACATACTAAGGTTGCTTGCCGTGGATTTGAACCACTTTCTGTGTTGCCAGTAGTTGGTTTACTTGCGCCATCAACAGCTGACATGAAGAATAGCTACTTAGACCCGGTGCCCCTTGCTTCTTTTCAAAACATGTATCGCTTTCGATGTACACAACTACAGGTCGAACCTTTTCATCGTCTCAGCACAAAATATTGGAAGTTTCCAGCTGGCTGACTCAACAGTATCATGCAATAGACAGATGGTAAAAACCAACTAGGATAATAAAGCAACTTTTGCGCCTCAGCACTGGCTTTCTACAAAAAGCAATAATAATAAATAATGTATGATGCTCATTAATCCAATCCCCTTAGGCTTTCTCCGATTGCCTCGTTCGCTTCCATGGGGCTCCAAACTTCCTTAGGGAACGTTCATACACTATAAAAGGCTTGGAAAGTTGTATAGGTGTTTTGTTTGTTAATGCTTTGCAAACCTCATTACTGCTGCACAGTCGTGAGGTACATAAGAGTCGTTTATGCTAAAGGCATACGGCATTGACATCAGCATAGTGTTCTCACAGGTAAGTATCCGTCTATCGATCGTATCCGGTTAGCTATTCAAAATACTACAAGTCGCACAAATGTCTCCCTTAAATGCATCATGTGTGAGTGCGTTGTGAATGGGTTTCTTAAAACTAAACCAAATTTTGCATGAAGAATATTCTTTTAAAACTTCTGTCACTAGGAGAAATTTTGTGGTCAGGAATAACTAGGAAATTTCACCAGCTCTTAAGTGATGAAATATACTTATATTTCCTGTCAGGTATGCAACCCTGTCCATTATCTGGGCATCGCTTTAGGTCACGGAAATAAACTTGTGCGTTCTTGTTTGCAAGGTCCCTTTCACAATGCATGGGCATGGATAATTAAAAAGCATTAAACTTTTTATTACCAATCAGCCAGACAAATAAAATTGCATGAATTGCAAAAGTGCACGAATAATTTTTACAACAACGGGTGCTGCTGTTGGGCTTGGCAATGGATTCCATTGTTTGCTTCAATCTACTAAAGGACCACACATGATTCCAGTTAAGAATGGAACATGAAGCAAGTCATTTATGAAACTGAAAAAGATTTGCATTCTTCTAATGCTACGGGGATCGATAAGCTTCCAGTTGAATATTACTTTAATGCTAAAATGTCAATTAACACCAATATGTAATCTACACATACGTTCTGCTCTTGACTACATGCTGACAAATTATGTTCTGAAAATGTATCCAACAGTCGTTAATGAGACCAACTAATTTACGCCGGGAAATAAAATGATTTTATTGCTTGTTATTCGGGTGTGGCCAGCTTAGCAACAAACAAAACAAAGAAAATGTCAACCCCAGAAATTCTTTGCAAAAGCTCGTGAGGGTGGCACGCGGAGTGAAAAAAATGTACGAAAATCATCATAAAACGTGTGTTGAGTTTGATTTGAATTTGAATCCTGTGGTATATAATAAAACTGTTATTTCGTTATTGTTCCTTTAATTTAATTATATGACAAACAAAGGCAATTTTGAAAACGGTGGGTAGCTAGAAAAGTAAAAATCCCCAAAATTTGCCACAAACTGTCCGATTTAAACTGCCAACTACGACAGTAGCTTGTGTTAAAGACGCGCCATTTTTTATAAGATTAGAAAGATCAGTGAGGAGTAAGTGTATGGAAAAGGTGTGCTCATTATCAGGACTGATGGTGTGAATCACATGACAAAAACCATGGAGACAGCACTGTGGAATCTTTTGAAAAAGAAAACCACAAAAGACACCATTGGAGGTCGCGAAAGTCTGACAGACTAGTGAATCAAATATCTTACAAGTTATTATAGTCATGCAATAAAAGACAACGTACGCAACCATAATGCAACGGAGAAAGCTGTTGTGGCGTCTTTATTCTACAATGTCCACAAGTGAATGCCAGCACTATGCTAGATATCCCAAAGGAAAGGAAGGAAGACGTTTTTCAGTGGCTGAAGAAAACATCCAGGCCGCACGGTGCCATTCGAAGCCCCTGCCGCATGACCTTGCTCAAAACCTTGTCCCCATTTATAAGCGACTTAGAGACCCCCACCTACTAACAAGTAGCCTGGCTGGAAAGACACTAAACCTCAAGGAAGACCTCTATTTGATGTGATAAAGTGTTTGTCCAAAAGAAGCATTTGCTACCGGTCGAACTGCTCGCATTCCCGTGGATGTGTGCATCCAGCAAGGGTTCCACAGCACATCTGGACATCTTTATTAAATTCGAGATGACAGCGAAGTTGCATGCTAAAAAGTGCCCTGGGAACGAAGATATCAAAAGTGTTAAGGATGCCCCTGGGAACACTACGAAGCAAGCAAGGAAAAGGAACAAGCAATTGATTGACATCACGTGAAGAACATGTACTACGCAGTGTACATGAAGGGGTACAATACGTCTCAGTATCAGTACAGTCAGAAACAGTTAGGGAATACGGCGCGCATTCGATTAAGTTGTACGTTCATGGCTATAGACAAGGAAAAGCATGAGTTTTTCACATGGTCCTCTGCGACAATTCGTGTTAGAGGCGTTTTCCTTAAAAGCCTTTTGTTTGCGACAGTTGTGCTTCTCCATCCCTCCAAATAAATGTATGCTAAATAAAGATCATGCATTGATATTTGTCAAACTAATGTAAAAAGAAGTGCTACGTATTTTAAAACAGGTTTAAACAACCGTATATTGTTAACGGTTTCAGCTATACAAAGTTATTATATATAAACTATACTTAATGTTTTAATAGTCATATAATGGGTGTTTGTAAAACCAGATGCAGCTTTTGTATTCGTGTGGAGCATACCTTTGTGCATAAAATTCCATTCAACATACATTTTGATAATTTAGTCCGTGAAATGCATGGTAAGTTAAAAGAAAAATGAAAGGAATTCATTATATATTTTTATATTTTGATAAAGTTTGGTAGTTTTATGAGATCATGAGAATAGTTGGTGTTAAAATTTGCTTCGGAGGAGTTAGTAGCAGTTGTAAAATGTCAAAAAGCAACCACAAGTAACGCTGAAATTTAATACCTGATAAACGTCTGGCTCTTCATGCCATGTGTTACATTAAGCAACTGAATTCTGTTGAATGTTAAAGGCATGGCTATCCGTATCGTGGATTCCATTTTAAACGCACAACAAAAAGCAGGGATTATAACCACTGCACACCTCGCAAACTACCCCTCCTATCTGAGCTGTGTACGGTCAAACGTGTAGCTGCAGTGCTTAACACAGGACAGCCCCACTGCAAGTATAGCGTAAACAGTGGCATCGTTAGGGCTCAACTGTGCAAACACGTGGAACAAAAATAGTCCGAACGCCATTATGGTATATCAAAAGTGTCAAAGATACATTGGTGGTCTAACTACGACACGTTTGATTTCTTTGGCAGAAATATAATACTAAGTAAAGCTTATGGTACTGAACGGTCTATCCATATTTGTACAAAGCAAGCGCTTTTAAGACTGTAAACTAGCGCGACAGAGCACCTTGTCAGATAGAGTTCCCCACAGCAAGAAACAAAAATGCAAAAGAATTTGATCTTCGTCCAACACTTACCTCCATATTTCACTATTACTGGAATCGGCTCCGTAAAAGGTCCTGTAGATACGAGGTTTACAGCGGCCACCTTGAAGTAATATGTTTTCGAGGATATCAGGTTGGAAATCACAGTGCTGTCTGAGTTGGATTCGACCATGTGCCAATCGGAAAGTGGGTGGTCCTGCTCGAAGCTGTACAGAATATGATATTTCTGTGCAGAAAGTAAACAGAACATTTAAGGTAATTAAACATTTTCAACTTAACGTTGGCTATTGTTATTCAACGCGTTGCAGAATACCAGTTAGATAACCTTTGGCTCTCGACCGGGATGGGAAAACCTACAACTTCACCCAATCAGGACCTAAGTAGTACGTTCAATTCACTCCGGATAGTAGGACGGGATGGTGTTCAAAATGTTGTACCAGTTTGTATGCATGAGTTGTGATATGATCACATAACCATGCTTATGTTGTCAAAGCCTGGTTTTAAGAGTGAATCACAATAATTTTAAAATAAAATGTCCTAAACGCATCTGGAAAACACCGGATGATTTTATTGTCCTGTGTTAACCCGCCGCTGGTGTACATACTCCGGATCCATCAGAAACAGAACCCATGACCGCTAGCGGTTTGAAACACCAGCCAGCAACTTACGTCACTACGTGAAGTAACTGTGATAAAGCGCAACTCGTCACTGTCAAGCATGTAATGAACAATGAACAATGATTTATCATGGGATAAAATAAGCGCCCGACATGTCCCGTAGGATGCTTGGGGTGAATATGATGAAACCAAAATATATCTGGGTCATCTGCCGAACGTCTGCTTAGATGAATACCTTGATACTTAATATCAGTGTAAAAGTAAAAAATCCAGCGTAAACGTTCAGAAATACACGGGTGCAGTGATCATTGATAAACGGCGTGAGAAAAGTATGCTCGCACACTTGGGTCCATTTAATACATAAATCTTGTAGAAAAGCATGACTGGCGTAATCCACAATAGAGGAGTTTAGGTAACGAAACGTTGGCAGCAAAGAGCAACATCTAATCGTATTTTGAAAACGTCCAAGGTAGGGGAGGATACAACTGAGTCTGGGAGTGCTTTCCAACGTTGGAAAACCCGAAGGGAAAAGTAATTCCGTCGACACACCACACGGCTATATCGTTCCTTCAATTTTAAGCAGTTATCCCTGAGCTGCGTGTTGTGGCTAAGTTTCAGCAAATGGTGGCATACGTGATTGGCGTCACTCAATATCTGATACGCTACTATGAGATTGCCGCGCAGCCTTCGACAGCGTCCGCTAAAAATTCCCAGCAACTTCATCCTTCGGTGGAAAGAGTGATAGCGCATGCGCTTTACAGTCTTTGTTGCTCTTCGTTGTGGTGTCTCTAACGCCTCTAGGTCGCACTTCAACCAAGATTGATAAGCTTGGATAACGTATTCAACATGCGGGGGCAAGTAGAAATTGTGCATCATTGGGAAGATTGATGGGTCAAATCTCCCGACTACACTTCGCCGGATACCAACGTGCTGGTTGCCTCATTTCGCAGCTACCTCAGCCTGCTTTGAACAGTTGAGGTCGCTCTGTACGAGCACACCAAGGCCGAATTACTGCGAGCTTGTCTGCAATCTGGTTGTCCTAAGCACGTAGGTGTAGTTATGTCTATGGCGTAATTGTACAACGCGACAGCTGTCTACGTTGAATGGTAGGGCGTTTTGAACTGACCAGTTCGACACTGTTAATATCGCACTGGAGCCGTACGTGGTCGTCCGGTCATTTGATCCTTCGCCATATCTTGATATCATCAGCGACAAATGGGAACTCGGAAGCAATTGATTTCGCCCAATCGTTAATGAACACCACGAATAGACGAGGTTCAAGAACCGAGCCTTGTGGTGCACCACACACCACATGGATTGCATCGGAAAATGATTTTCGGACACTCACATCTAGCCGTCGTTAGTGTAGGAAATTGTCAATCCAGCTCATCATTGGATCGCCAATGCCGTAGTTCCGAAGTTTCTGAAGGTGATTTCGCTGGTCAAAACGATCAAACGCTTTTGGATAGTCCAGGTTGATGACATCGACTCCGGATCCATCATCAACAGCTTCAGTTCAGCTATTACAAGCAATTAATATGTTAGTATTACATGAACGCTTTTGACGAAAGCCATGTTGCTCTGGGGCTATTAAGTTGTGGCTTTCCAGATACTGCATAAGCGCATCTGCGATGATTGATTCCATCAATTTGGATAGTACAGGAAGTAGTGTTATTGGACAGTAGTTGGTAGGGTCAGTGTGACTACCTCCTTTATGGATAGGAGTGATGACCCCTCACTTCAATACTGGTGAAATATGGTTCTCTTCTAGATATCGCTGATAGAAAACAGCCAGTGCTTCTGCTAGATCACCAGCTATCGCCTGCAGAGCCTTTGGTCGGATGTTGTCGACTCCAGGAGAACTGTGGATACACTAGGATAACAACTTATTCAACACAGCTTCCGCAGTGAAGGTGATATGGTCTAAACCCGACAGTGGAGTAATAGAAACGAGGAGAATATTTGGGCTCGTTACCTGCTGGAAAGTTTGGGAGTAATGAAGCCGTATCAGTTTGGCAGCTTCCATTGCTGATCGCGTACATCCATCAGCGGTGAATAGCACTGGAATTCACCGCTTCACCTTTCGAAGGCCGTTAACGTGCCTGTACAGAAGTTTACGGTTTGTGCAGAATCGCTTCATTAGCATCTGATGATGAGTGACCTTGTCTTCGCGGATCAGTTTCACACAGAAGTTACGATGTGGCACATATATGGTCCAGGTTTTGGCATTCGGGCAGTCCTGGTGATCTCTCCATGCAAATCCCTCAGGAACATAGATTTACGTATTCTGCTCCTCAGAAATGACTTCTGCTTGTTTTTGGTTCGGAAGGAGTTCTGTTCCGGTGCTTGTGACACCAGTGTGCTAAAAGTCCTTGTGAAGGTTTCCAAGGTAACATCTGGGGTGCATTCGGTTAAGAAAGTCTAAGATGTATCCTTAACAAGCGTAGATAACACATTATAGTGCGTGGCAGTATGCACTTTATCAAGCACCTTTTCAGGATACTCTGCATAGCATATATAGTCAAAAAGTAGAGAAACATGATGACTACGACCCAGTGGTGTGCTTTTAACTATCCCGTCAACCATGAGGTCTTCGTTAGTGAGCACATGATCCAGTATCGATGGTTTGTTAGCCGTTTGAAATCTGGTGAGATTAGTTACGTGGTTGTACAGAGGGTGACTAACAATTAGCCCTTGCAAGCAGGCATTAAATTGCCTACCGTCGGTTGCTGGCGTTCCTATGTCGTGCAAGTTAACGTCTGCAGCGATAAGAATGTGGGTGTAGGACTTGTTCAAAGCTAACTGAAAGATGTGATTCATTTTGGATTCCATTTCCGAGGTTGAGTTTGGTGGGCGGTAAATCACGGCTAATAGACAAGTGTCCCTGTTTCGCAACCATAAGCGGCACCAAAGCGAATCAGGAGCTCGGATTTCCGGGTGATCGATAACTTCGCCTCGAAGGTTTGCATCATAGTAAAGAATCACACCGCCACCCCTTCCGGTACTGTTGTTTCGCAGTAGCGACGTACCGGGTAAATTGATCTCAGGATCGGTCATCTCATGATTTCACCAGGTCTCTGTTTTCATAACGAGGTCCCGCGTTGTGAGTCACAGAGTTCTCTAAGTTCGCCTAAATCACTTAGGAAACCTTGTGCGTTTGTGTACATACAAGAAATAGGTTTTGTTGTTAGGAGTGCGTTGATGGATGTCAACTTTGTGTTCGTTGTTAAGCCGGTCGTTAGGTGGCTGACCATTAATCGTTTTTTGGTTTATGAATTTCAGTCAAGTTGCATGGCATTATTGAGCGTTCCTGAACAGACGTTTCCCTCGTGTTGTGCTCTGTGCTGGTGTGTGTCGTGGGTGCTGTTTTGTCGGTCCCTCCGCAAGACTGTGCAGGTAAATAATTTGCAGCGTTTGCAAGTTGCAACGAATTGCTTACGACACTTTACCGTTCGCCTACTGACTTAAGCTGGATCTCAGTTGGTAACCTGTCTCGAAAATTTAACCGGCTATCCAGCAGAACTTGCGTCATTCCCTCGGAGTGGAATATTACTTTTATTAGTCTTAGACTGCAGCCCTTTTATTTAGGTGATGACGAACTTTTGTCAGGGATTTGGCAATAACATCGTCAACAGAGAGTGCTTCGCGGATGTAGCACCACTGATCTCGGTCATGTGTTTGTGTATCGTGTCCAGAAAAATGCAGGAGCTCAGGAACACCATGAACAAATATTGTTTTCTTGCTATCGGTATTAGAAATGCCGCGTTGGTCACCTGCTTCTTTTGGGCGATCTTTCCAAGGTAGATCATTTAATATGCAAACTCCACTCGGTGAGTTGCGAAGACGAACCGCTGAGAGCAGGACAGCCTCTGTCGCATCTGCTGAGTCTAGTGTTACTCGAAGAATTCGAGGTTCACCAGAGTGCACTGAGGTCGGGTGACGCGCTACGCGTTGCAGCATTGCAGGCTCAACCCGAATACCAACCGCATCGCAGATGGAACTCCACTGGTTGCTATCGTCTTGCAACTTGCCTTTTTTGTGCCAGACTTGGACTCGGAAGCATTGGTGCACACGAGAATTAACGCAGCGAGATTTTGTCTAGCGAGTTTTGGCTTTATAGTTTTGCCGGCAATTTGGGTTGTTTAGAAGGCACCACTGGAGTTGACGGTGAAAGCTGTTTTGCGCCACGCGTGCTGGGTACAGAAGATGACGCTATGTGTGTCGCTCCCATTGTGTTTGTTGAGGCAATCGATGCGTAGGTTACCTGCTTGTTATCTACACCGGATTGCCTTCGGCGCTGAGCTGTAGGTGTCATGGCTGAATCTCCAGGTGAAGCGTTTGTGGTTGAAGAAGTGGAAGCAGGCAGGTTTGAGGCTTGTCCATTTATTGGAGTGAGATGACCCAGTGGATTTAGAGTTACAGAGGCTGCAGTGCGGTTGGAGCGTCTAGCTCTCTTCTTCGACTTAGATTCAGAGCTTATTTTGGCTGGGTGAGGTATTATCGTGGTTATATTTACCTTCGTGGCATCGACCTTAGTATTTACAAAATGCGCGATTATCTCAGTCATCTTATCAAACATTTTCATGAGCAAAGATAAACAGTTGACAAC